GGCTTTTGGAGGGTTTTTTTTTGTGGTATATCACCACACACCAGACAAATAACTGAGAAATCACAGTCCATACTAAGGGTTTCAGAGATACTCTTACTTCATAAAGCAAGCTTTTACACTCGCCCAAATATAACGCAACGAGCTAGGAGGAGAAACAGAAAGGAGATGAAATAATCGTCAAGTACATCTGATGACAGTGATGGTATTAACTACAACAGAGGTGGCATACCACAGAGGAAGCCAAAGTTCAAAAAATATCCTGTAGGACTGAGTGCCATAAAAGGTAATATGGATTAAACAAGAAATGTCTAGGGGAAAGAAATCTTTGAATTACTTATGGTCTGTGGAAACGGAGGAGGGAAATAAATGTTCATGATCCTTACCGCTGAACAGTATGAAAAGGAAACCAACATCCCTGGTATCAGATTTTCTTTCAAGATCCAAAAAGCACAGCAGTAAGGCAATTTGCTGCTTGTATAGGAGTGTCAGCAGGGAGAAGGACAGCAAATTGGAGCATTACACATAACAATAAACCCCCCCTAGATCATTGCTTCTCTCCCCTATTCTCTCTGCCATGAAATAATAAAAGGAAAACCAGCTGCAGACTGGTAAAAAACAAGAACGATGGTAAAAGGAACACCAGGAGAAAGTGTAAAACAAGACTAACCGAGAATACTGTAGCCTCTGTTAATCCATTTCATATTGCCCTTTCAATTAAACCTTAGCAATAACACTGAAGGCAAACTGAGTGGAAGTTTACTTAAGTTAAAAAAAAAGAGTAAGGACACCAGACTACAGCAGTTAGCAAAGAAATTGTAAAATTGTCCCAGGATATTGATTGCAAAGTGCTTCTCCATTTTATTTTGTAGAAAGAACCTTACAGAAAGAACCTACATATGTGGCAAAATATACACAGGAACCTAATTTTATAAAGGCAAACTCCAAGAACAGTGAAAAGCACCTCCAAGTGTTATTTTCTCTCCAGCTGTAAAACATCTGACACAGATATATTTGGTCTAAATATCAACTAGTAATTAACTACGTATTTTGTGCTAGAATTTAACCTCAGAGAGTGATGAGAAGGAAAACAAGAATATCTCACAGGGTTACCTCTGAACAATCAGCCGTAGAGCTAGGATTCATTTACTTGATAGAACTCCTCATCAGTGCCTCTCAGTTTGTGGTAGTATGAGTGCAGGTGATTCACATGATGCCCACGTGCATAAGCATTTCCGTGCCTGCGGACTAAATTAAGCTCTGTCTAACCACAAGGTACCTTTGAATAATTGAAAGTAATCTTAAAATTCAGAAGTCTGTCTTTTAGAATTCCTAGAAGAAACTAGTATTTTTATGACGTAAGCACTGTGAGTGTGTGTTTGTGGTTTTTGTTTGTGTTAGTTTTTTTTTTTAAAGTGTGTGCCTTATGTCTACTCTTTACTAAGACACTCTCTAAATTCTTTTTTAAAGGAGTACTGGCAAGTTCATTGCACCATAAATCCCTAGCGCCAAAATTGAAGTCCTCACCATGTTCTCAAGTCAGTATAATGACATTGTGGTTTTTGAGAGTTCATGCTGAACAAATTTCTCTCAGACTCTCCTCTTAATGTTCAAGGCAACTGTCTGTGTTAGTTAGGCTGGCAAATAGCATAACCCAGAAGACTTCTGACACTATGTTACACTAGACTTATATTAGAAGTGAGTTACCTTTAAAAACAAGAAAACTTCTGTTAAAAACACCCATTTGATTTTACATATTTTTCTTGACATGCAACGTAAAAATCTAACATTAAAATGGCTTTTCAAAGGTCTGCATATAGTAAGTTCTATTTGCTAACCATGTGAAGGTTCATTTGCCCATATAAATATTGTGAATATATGTAAGCAAAGAACGCAAGTTTATGCAAGTTCTCTCTGAACCTTATAACATGCCAAATCAGAGCATTTTATTTTTTCTTTTTTTGCCAGTATGAAGTTGGACAGGAAAGCAATGATCTAAAGCATACATAAAAAATAAAGTAATGGATACAACCTAAGGTTCAGCAAGGAATTGTTTTGAGAAAAATCACAATATTTAGAAAAGGCTATAAAAATAAGACAGAATTGTTTCTAAATAACAGAATGTCATTGCTGCA